AATGGAGGGAGAGCTGGGGGACAGTGAGCTGGTCAGTCCCGGCGTTGTTTCTTCCGCTGTAGCCTGGGCTGTTGCTGGTGAGGGCCAAGGGGAGAAGCAAGAGGTGCTCTTTTATCTCTCTCCATCACGCACATCCTTCACACCTCTTCCTGCCCATGGGGATGTGGCAGCCCGGCCAGGCCGGGTGGCTCTGAAACAGAAAGGCACCGGCAGGAAGGAAAGGAAAGCAGCTGGAGCAGAGATAAACACTATTTTGTTCAGTACAGGCCAGCTTGGATGGCCCCACAAAGCCAGGCGCGCGTTTCCCTCCGCTCTGCTGCAGGGAGACTACAAAGGATGCAGAAAGGTGGTCCTGGGCTCGGGGAGTGAGAGTTGAGGCCAGCTAAAAAGGAGAGGCAGAGAGAGGGGTGGGGGTGTTGAAGGCGGGCAGCACTCGGCTAGGGACGGAGGGACAGAGAGCGCCTCTGCTCCTGGGGGCTGCAGGACCTGCCTCGCGCAGTCTTGCTCCTCCCTTTGATTTTCCTCTAGCTTGGACGCAAGCCTGGGACAACTCTCTCTCCAGAGGATCAAGTGCTGGAGAAGAGTTGGGTTTTACAAATGCAGGCAGCAACATGGAGACTTGGGGAGGTAACAGGAGGCAGCCCCTTCTTGGCATCTGCCAAGTACCCGATGGCCCCTTTCTGCCCCTGCCTGGATATTGCCACGCCAGCCCCACTAGGCTGCAGCCTCCATCCCTCCCTGAAGAGAGGTGCCCACTGCGCTGCCGAGAGGGCACTATGGTTAGTATCCCCCCACCTCATCCCCAACTCCTCTTGGGTTTATTTATTGCACGAACATAAGTTATTTTCACGTCCTCTTTGCCATTCCGCCTCTCGGCACAGCCAGGATGTTGGTACAGAGCCGTACTTTATATTTTATATATGCAAATCACATTTTATCTTATACTTATATAGAGCAAAAAATACTTATTTATTTTCTGACTTACAGTATGTGTCCTACCTGACTCCTCTGTATTTTGTAGACTTTACAAATAAAGCAAGTTCTTTTTTTTTTTTTCCACGGAGAGAGTGTTTGATCATTCTTGAACGGAGGATAGAGCTGTGTCTCTGTAAAACCAGCACCTGTTCACACCTATAGCTGACTTTTGGTGTTTGGGTTGGTCTGTTTTTTTTTCTCCAATGTCCAACATGCATGAAAATGAGAGCATTCAGCTAGAAAGATTTCCTAGCTTCCCTCTAGCTTTGCTACAGGGCACGTGGTTAAGAAGAGAATGTGCATAAAAAAGATTCAGGATGGAGGACAGCTCATGATTTCTTTAAACCAGCACTGATTTATATTCTTTAGAAGAAGAGGGCTTAGAAAGTAGGTTTAACACTGAACATGTCCTTTGAGGCATCGGCAGCTAGCCAAGACAACTCCAGGATAAACCGGCCAGCTCTGACCTGGACCAGCCATTAATTCAAAGGGCAAAAAAGCCATGGCCTCCCTGGCAAATCCCACATCACAGAGCTAAACACAGCAGCAGGCTCAGCTAGGCAGACTGCAGTGGTGGCTGCGGAGCTACGTGTTGCTCACTGCCCCAGTTGTCTGCTCCACCTGGGAGCTCCCTGCCCAGGCTGTTGCCTCCTCAGCATCCCTCCTCCTCTTCTCTCACAGGAAGAGCACCCCCAGGGGCTGACCCAGGCAGGTTCATGCATTGCTGTAGGTTTGCTGATACTACACAGCTGCCAGAAGCGAGCAGGGATCAGAACTGAGCAGGAGCCAGTTTTCTCTCCCACAAACTTTTTTCTTTTCACGGCAAGTTTAGAAAGAGGTTTCCCTTCCCTACTGTGGCCAAACCAGGTGGGGAAACAGTGACCAACTCCACTGGAGAATAACTAGAAGAGGCAACACAGCATCAGGTCCCCACTCCCTGCCACGAGTGCGCCAAAGGAAGGATGCCACTTCTCCGGGCACTGATCCCCAGGAGCAGGCAAACACCAGGTCCCTGCTTTAGAGCTAGGTACAAACAGGAAGCTCAGATGTCTTTCTCTGTCGGCTGAGTGGTCCCATGCCAAAGCATCGGCTAATCCAGAGTTGCTGAGTTTCGCTTTTGCGTGTGTCTCCCCAGAAGCTGCCAGAATTGAGATCATTATGTGCTTTCCTTCCATCCCCCAATAGCACATTCTTTTGGGAGTGCTTCAGCTGTGCTGAGTCAGCTTTCCCCAAAACAGATAAAAGCTTTTCACTGGAAAATTCCTGCCAGACTGCACTCAGAAGGGAGCCAGATCTGACGTGAGCAGGTACTCAGACTGCTGCACGTCTTTTCCCGCAGCACCCCAAAAATCACTGCAGTTCTACAGTCACTGTGGTCTATGCAAAAACTTCCCGGCCGAGTGACCTCACTGCCTTACTCAGGCCTGAGGAGGAAAGGCTGCCTCTTCTGAGGAAGAAAGCGGGGAAGCTCAAGTCTCACGGTGGCGGCAGGAGGAGGAAGCATGGCTGGCATGTTAACTGGAGGTGAAGCTTCTTGGCAGCGGCTGCCCCAGCTGTTCTGCATTCCTCCCCACTGCCGTCACCCAGGGAAAGCCGTCCCTCCACGCAGAGTGCCACTCTCCGGGGCCAAGGTGGAAGCGATGAGTGCCTTCCCTGGACACGCAAACAGGCAAGTTTGCAGCCTCCAGGCAGCTCGCAGCACAAACGCCAGTCCTGGGTTTTACATTCACGCTCCAATCTGCCACCCACTGCTGCAAACTGCCCCAGTTCAGGCCACAGGCAGCACAGCCACCCACTCCAAGGAAGAAAAGCTCTGAGTTGCTATTTGCTGAGGCCAGCTTCAAAGAAAGAAGCCTGCTCTTTCCCCAAGAGGTGTTTTACACCGAGCACCACCCAAGAGCTCCGGCCTCATTTCAATTGCAGATTTTTGAAAAATGGGTTTTGCTCCTGCCCTGGGCCATCAGTAACCTCTCAGCTCCAGGCCCTGCCCTCAGGCTGCTGTAGCATTGCTCCCCTGTCAGCACCCGTGCCCACCGACACAGACGACATGACACTATCCTCCCGAGAGGAGGGCTGATGGGGCAAGTCAGTCTTGCCCCTGCAATGGGCGAGAAGAGAATGCAAAATCAGTTCAGAGAAGTCATCCAGACACCACCACACAGAGGCAGTTTAAGTACAATCTAAATTATCTCTATATTTTTATTTGTCATCATATTTGCTCATTTCTGCAGAGTATAACGTCACAAAGACCAAAATAGAGAGAGAGCGGCTTGTCGCTGAGCTCACGTCAGTTAAACACAATAGGTACAAAACTAGGTGACTCTGTCTTATTTATCATACATTTTTTTCAGTCATTTATATACAAAGAACTACTCTATATGGAAAAATAATAAACAAATCCCATGGGTATGTTACATGGTAAACAAAAAGGAAGGAAGGAAGAAGGGTAGCAGGTGAGGGAGAGCAGCTCCAAGGGCCTACTCTTGGAACTGACATATTTGTTAGGGCCCTGGGCTACCGCTAACAGATCTGCAAGACCACAGGGTGCCTTGGCCTTGGTCTCAAGCTCTGGTAGTATTAGATCTTTGTTCCTCCAAGCCAGAGTGGCTACAGAGCCAATCCTTGTTCTGGCACTTGCCTGTCTTGAGGGAGAGCAGGAAGCTCAGAGATGATTTTTGTGTAGCGTTAAAAAAATTCATATAAAATTACAATGTGTGACAGCTGGCTGTTGTTCAGGGGCTAATCTTCACCAGGCTTCTCTGAAAGTAGCTAGTGCAAAAGGGTTATACTTTAAACCACTACATATATGAAGCTTCAAGAATATCCAGATCATAAGCACAGTATACGCAGCATAACATTTTGAAGTAACTTTTAAAAATGTTTCCTCAAACCTGGATCATCTTCAAGCTCAATAGGACAATCCCAGAGACCTCAGGTCTCAGCTACCCAATGCGACAAACATCAGGGAGAGTCACCAATTAAGTGATACTGGGACATCATCAAGTCCTGCAAACGCAATGAGAAAGGAAAGGGGTTGCGTCCCGTCCCCCACTTTCCTAAGAGAGAGGGGAAGTTTAAAATAAATACTGAGCACTACGGAACTATTAATCAGAAGGCATAAAACATGGAAGGAAAGCCCATTCAATCTCCAGACCTGCTTTCCAGGTGGGTTGTGGGATGAGAAAAAAGAATTTTACACCAAGCCTGCAAAAAGCCTAGTAGATAGGATTTGCATGTCCATTGAAGTAGTGACAGATTTAGGGAAAACAGTAACTGACTGTTGGCATCGCAGGGTATGTACAAACAAGGAAATCCAGGAGCAGAGAAGCTTTTGGATTCATTGATCCTTTCCCCAACTCTCTCAGAGTTGGCATTGTTGCTCCCATCCCCTTCACCGCCCACCTCAGACATCTGAGTTTGGAAAGAGATGCTGCCCGGAGTCCTCCTCACCTTCCCCTATCTTATCCTCACAGCAGAGAGCAGACCTGCCCATCTTCGAGCCTGTTTCCCCCCTGCTCCTGACCAGACATTCGTGGGAGGGGTACTGAAGGAAGGAGGTGGTCTTTGCTCACAGTAGCTAGGAAGAAAATGAATGAGCATGCACATAAATTGGGACACAAGAGGTAAGCGCCATACAGTAAATCAGACCCCAGTTCTGGCAGAGGGACTAAGGGCAACCTGAAAACATGCAGGTCTGCTGATGGCAGAGTGGGCATCAAGCAGGAGAAGACCAGTGAAACTACAGCCAAGAAGAAAGCAGCTTGATATAACCTCTTCATTTCACTTCCTGCCTGTAGGGGCAATCTCACCTATGACACTTGAATGTGTGCCCCCCACCCCATTTTAGCCAATTTTAAACAAGCAAGAGTTATTTCTTGGTGCTCTGATAGATCTACAGAGGGATCATTTTTAATTTGGCTCTGCTAAACATCTAGGGGCCAATTCAAAGCCTAACAAAAGCAAGGGAAAGCTGCTTTTCTCACTTCAGTGGATGCTGGTTCCAACCTTGATAGCATCACAGTTGCTGGGTCTGTAAAGTGTGCAGCAGCAGCAACTGCTGCTTGCGAAATCATAAGGGACAATTTTAACCAGCCAAGTTGTGTCAGGTTTCAAATCTGCTCCAGTTTGGCCTGGAACAACAACAGAGATAAAAAGCAAGAGGGAGTGTGCAACGTCCCTTTCTGAATCCTCCAGCCTAAGGGCAACACTTGTGCAGCTCACATGGGAAGTCAGCGATGACGAGCCTGAGGAGGGCTGTCTGCAGAAAGATGGGGCTATGCTCTGGCAGTAGCGGTGGAATCCACAACTTTCAAGAGGGGCAGATGTATTGGTAGGGGGCAGGGAACAAGAAGAGAGAACGTCTTAATCGCTTACATATCTCCCTTCCCCCAGGAGGGACCAAAGGGCCAGAGCTGTACAAACTTCATATTGTACTTCTACCACCTATCATGGCCAATCCTCAGCCTCCTTAGCAGGAGAAAGATGCTCCACAGAGGTATCTCACTGCAGGAACACAAGGAAGATGGGAAACTTGGATACCTGGTAATTAGAAAACCCCCACAGCCTAAGACAGTAATTCCACCCCCACTGAGCTTCAATGAGCACCAGCTTCAGACAGGGAATGTGGGTGAAAGGAAGAGGAGAAAATTCCTGTCCTTTGCCCCCTCACTCACTCAAGTACAGGACTGCACAATTAGGTGCTTAAGGGGTGACAGATGTTCCTTAGTAAGCATTCAAGGCATTGGCTACAGAGAGACCAATGTCTGCTCTGATCCTCAGGGATTCTTTTCACTGCATCCTAATCCCAAGGATCACAGTGAAGTTAGTACCAGGGAGCTGGGGGAGCAAACTGTGCCTACATCAGCCATTCAAAAAGAGGAATACAAAGCAGTCATGTTGTCCAGTTGGAAAAAAAAATAATGTTTCGCCACAACTCTAGACTCTGGCCAGTCACGCTCCGCACTGAGCTGGGCGGGTATGGGGGGCCACAGCCCTTCGCTTCAACCAATTCCAGTCAACTGCTGTAGGAAATGGGCTGTGAGACAGGATTCCTGGCCATTCCCCCACCTCCACACTGCTCATTGTGTCCATATCCACAAAAGCTAATGGGAAGTGCCCACTTCTGCAATCTGCATTCTCTAGGAAGTGATATGACTTGTGTGTTTCTGCTTCAATAAATTAAAAAAAAAAAAACCTAACAACAACAAAAGAGGGAAAATTCCAGCCTGCACTGGCAGTTCCCCCTCCTAGAACTCATCATCAGAGCTCAGCAGGAGGGTCTTCTCATTGTCACGGGCACCTGAGCAGCTGTGGGAGCGTGAGATGACGTGACCACCATTGCGCCAGGGTGGGCCATGCTCCAGTGTTGACTGCTGGGTGTACTGCTGGTAGGCTGGGGAGAAGTTGTGGATCGCATCTTGAACAATGTCATGAGGGTTCATGGTCTCCTTGAGGCTGCTGGAGATGCTCTTCATGGGAGCACAGCGACCTGCCGAGGTAAGATGGGGAGGAACAAGTGAAGAACACTGCTGACATGTCCCACATGCATTAACGTAGAGGTAAGGAGAACAGGGAACATGCACTCCTAGGTCCTGCAGAAGTTATTGCACAGACTTCCTTAAGAGGTTGCTGAGGAAATAACATCGCAAAAATGGTGCAAAGTTTTACAAGGAATGCTCCTAAGGTCCAGCCACTGCTAGCCAAGTGAATCCACTTCAACAGCAAATGGAAGACATGTCACGCGAATGAGATATTCCCACAGCAAAAACCCTCCGCTATACGCTACCTTGTCTGGCTTAGGGATGCAATGAAGACAGGTATGCCCCTGAAGACAGGGGCAGTGCTTCTGTAAAGGGTTTCAGAAGACAAAAACTAAGGAAATTCTAAAAATACAGGAGAAATGGCATTTACCATTTCCACTCACGGGAAATTAGGTTGACAGGCAGTATCAAAGCATCCACAGGAAGAGATCACAAAAGGGGAAAGCAGCATAAAAGAGGGAAAGGGAACACGCAGTATTAAGAGGTAGAACCTCTCAATGGTCAGAGGACATCACAGTGACACAGTGAAGGAAGCAGCAGTTGGAGACAGTCCCACACAGAACTGTTGCATGCAGAGGAAGGTTGTGCATCTTTTTGGGAGCTGCTGTTCCTTATGGCTTTTTCCCATTTCCAGCATGGACTTCTGGCTCTGCTCTCAGTCCTGAGGACGAGCTCCCCAAACCATCAAGGCACGCTGCTTATTTGTCAATTATGAAAGGGGTGGGGAGAGGTGAGGTGAGAGAGCAAACTGGCTACTTTGAGACTTCATGCAATTTTTTGGATAGAGAGGATGGTTTCATACAGTCCCAATGCACAAACACTCTAATACTAGGTTATGGCACTACCCAAGCGCCTGCTTTACAACTTATAATCCAGATACCCTAAAGCAGCTGTGTGAAGCAGTCAAGTTACAGACCTATGGAAAGGGGGAACAAGGGACAGAGCAGGTAGTTGGCAGGCTGGGAACCAGGACAGAACAGCATCCCTGTTAAAACCAACTGACACAAACACAAAGCATGCTGCACCTACCGTATGGCCCATATGATGGAACGGCTGCATCAGGGACCAGTGGCCAAAGCAAAGGAGAGAAAAAAGGGGGAGGGCAGAGACAGAGAGAGAGAAATTGAGAGAGAGAGAGAGAGGGAGAGAGAGGGGGAAAATAAGAACTGAACAAGACCCACCACCAAAAGTTCCCCAGTTGTGCTGGCCAGCAGTTCACACTTCTATAACATACAGATGTCACCTCCCCTAGCTGCAGCCACCGTCCTTCCAGAAACTCTGGGGCTCACTGGGATGGAGGGACCATCTACAATACTGCTCAGGGGCTGCAGTCTTCCCACAGCACACCCCACCCCACCAACAGGAAGGAAACCCTTTATCTGGAGAACATCAAATGAATTGGCACAGACTGGGCACAAGAACCTCCTTTTCTCAGAGGTAACTTCCACCTCCGTCTTCCCCAGAATAAGATTTCCGGCCTCTCTGCCCTCACACAGTCATTACAGGAAGATCCTCCTCCTTCTCCTCCAAGCCAAACATATTGCTAAAGCACAGCCTCATCTCCCTGACCCGGAGTCAAAACAGGACCTGCTTCAGGCCCTGTCCCTCCTTCCTTCAGTCTGTTGCACAATCTGGAGCGATGGAGTTCCCCTTTGGGGAGACAGGAAGGACAAGCCCATTCTACCAAAAGGAAGCGACGTCTTGCAGCCCTGAGGTCTGCAACAAGCTGTCGTGGGTGGCATACTAGGGAACTGAAAAGGGAACAATGCAATTCAGTCAAGGTTTGCAGAGCCCTTGCACAACGTGTCTGTTCAGATATCACGGAGGAGGCGATGAGATGTTTTCCCAGGCATCCAGGTCGAGAGTCGTATCAGCTTGTTGGCTGCTAGAGGGACCAACCTCCACCCAGTCTCACTACCACACAGACATGCCATCTTGTGCTAGCATATTCCCTACCTTGTGCATCAAGTCTCTTGTCTGCATACACCTTGTATGTGAAGGCATGGCGCAGGGCGATGGCCGCAAAGAACATCTCCACACAAATGATGAAGTCCTGATACCCAGCAGCTACGGTGCCTTCACCCACGGACACGTTGGCAGAGTGGATTTTGGGGATGGCACCACATTTTTCCAGGATGGCCAAGAGCATCCCTGAACGGAGCAAGAGGTTCGTGTAAGCGTGCAGAAAACATATTTGCGTATCAACTGCTAGGAATGGAAACAGCTGTCTGAGTATTCCTGACTGCAAAATCACTTACCGAGCCAAACCTTTTTTGTAGTTCCTGTGTTAACTCTCATTCACACTAACCTGTACTACAGAGAAAGGAGGAATAAACTAAACAAGTATGCTCAAGCAAAGAATGTTCAATTATTGACTCTTTTCTATGATCTACGGAACCAGCTGCTACAGGAAGCAATCAAGTCCAGAAGGGTAAAAAGCAGCCAGATATTTCTGTGAGCGATCTCAGCACCTCCATTAGAGCTAGAGCAAAAACTGAGGTAACGGAGCTTTTCACTTTAAGTATAAAGTTTACGACATACACTTGCAAGATGTTTCTCCGTGTGCATAACTAGGTGGCTGAGGAATTCCAGAGAAGGCAGAGAACATGTGACCAGACGGATCAAGATGATAAACTAGATAGCTTCTTAGTTTGCCTCTATGTAAGGAGGACAGGCCATACTCCAACAGCCTAAATTCCACCTAAGTTTTGACTCGATTAGACTTACTGAGTTGCACTTCAAAGACTAAGTAGGGCATCGAACAGGGAAATGCTCAGAGCCTATTAATAAGGAACACTAAGCTTACAGGGAACTTAGGCTTTCTGAATATGCCTCTGGATGCACCCTGGTAGGTACATACTCTGAACGTGCTTTGGCTCAGTGATGGTTCTGTGACAGCATAGGATGCTTTCAGCCCGTGTGACACTTCACATGAAATCACGGATGTGCAATTAAAATTTGTTTTTTGGAGCACTAAAAATAAAAAGTCCTAAAAATTTCAGATGTGCCACTTCAGTCAATAAAATGGCAGCATGCAGATAAGATCTTGGCACCTTAATGCTTTACAATTGTTTCAGGAACGCAAAGGACTCTTCAGCCAAACAGCTGATTTTGCCAGGCAGATGTGTGCACGTACGTGCATGCAAAGGGATACTGAGGAGCAGAGAAACAAAGATAAAAATGAGCAAAAATAGAGCTTTCCCAGAGAAAAGCAACCCAAGACCATAAAACCAACCAAATTAACAAAAATTCAGAAAGACATCTTAGCTATTAATTAGCAGCTGCTCCACCAACTCTAATGTCTGAGCCCCTGCAGAGAGATCTTTGTGCCTACAAGGGGAAGGGGAAAGCAGCTCACCTTGCCAGAAGGACAGGAAGATGACAGACTTCACCATGAAGAACTTGAGGACTGGGCTATAGGGGCTGAGCAGCTCACGCGTGGCAAAGTAGAAAAGGAAGAGGGCATACAGCGCCAGGCTGACAGAGATGTTGTAGATGATCGTCACGTAGAGGTAGCCGCTGGTTACACTGAAGCAAGAGGATAGATGAATGCCTGGAACCTCAGGGTGATCCCGTCTTTCCCCTTGCCTCTGCCACTGGGGAGCAACAAGACTCCGCTTCCTTCCTACCTGCCCCCCACCCAGTCCCACTCCCTCCCCAAAACTCAGGTAGAGAAAAAATGAAACCAATAGGTTTACCCTGCCCTCTTTTCTCACATACATATTCAGCCTGTGTGTCCCCCCACCTTTTCCCATGGCTCAGCATGCACACAGACCATAAGCACAGCTAGGCAGAGAAGAGGAAGCTGAGGTCTGCATGCTAGACAAACTTACTCAAAGTCACCATCCTGGTACTTGCCAAAGGCCTGAAGGATGACTGTGCTGATCGCCATGAGGGGCTTCACCACACAAAACTGCAGGGTAGCCTACAGGAACGAGAGGCGGAATGAGAAGGCAAGCGGTACAAAGGCCAAGCTCCCAAACAAGCACCACAGCAGGATGTCCACTGGGACAGCTTAGTGGCGCAACGCAATCCAGCCCCACCAGGGAGTCTAGCCCTGCCGCTTGCTACTCAATTGTCCTTGAGGACTGCAGCTCCCAAGAGCAGATAGAGATTCAGAGGAAGCACGTGCGCTATCTACCTGTCCAGGATAGGAAGAAAAGCCTATAGGTTGCTATATAGTAGTATTGCTATATATAAAGCAACTGCTCAGCTGCTTTCTTCCAGAGTTGTTTCACAGACTGTGCTGCAACACATTTGTACCTAGTAACTGCATGAAAAAGTCCCACGCTGTGCTATGGTACAGAAATAGTAAGTTTATTTGTGATGTACCCAACCAAAAGCGATACCAGGGAAGGGAAGCAAACTCCAGTCCATACTTTCCACAAAGATAGGCAAGAAAGCTCCCTGGATAAGAGAGGAACCCAGCTCTCTCAGGAGGACTTTGACAACTGCCACTGTCAGCATATTAAGACATTTCGTGAACACTGTGATGTGTGCTGCCAGACAGAAGTTAGAGCTATCCTGTTGTCCACAGTGTAATCTTTACTGAATCTCTCCAAAGGCTCTGCGGAACTTGAGATCAGCTCTATCCATTCTGCCAGTAGGTACTATGGGTAATAAATCACTGCTCCTATCAGGATTCCTTCTCTCTCAAAGCTACACCAGGCTCCATCTTCCTGGAAAAAGAAAAGCCAAATTTCAACATCCTAAGAGAGTAAAAGGTTGTGAGAGAGCAAAACGTCACCCTTGTCTTCCTGAAGTAGGCTGGAAGAGCCTGGCCAGGTGCTGACCTGCATGCACAGGGGAGGGCCAAGTATGGAAAGAAGGCAAAACCAGAGAGGAGTAATTGCTTTGGATACGATGCAATTTGTTAGTGGTCATAAGACTTCGAGGAGATTAAAAACCCCAGCACAAGCCAGTTAGTGAGTCACTGTAAAGATGTGAACTGGAAAAGGTCAAGCTAATTGGTAAACAACTCTGTTCTCTGAGCTTCCTTTCCTTCCAACCTGGGGATGGCTTAACCATTTCCCTGCAAGCCAAACCACCATGTTTTATTTTTAGCCTCTTCCCCAGAAGATGCTAAGGCATAAGGGAAGCACATGGATGGTGTGTGACCCATCTGTGATGGTCACCAGACACAGACCCAGCAAGGAACCTCAGAGTGAGATATCTTTAAGAAAACAAATGGTCCTGATTTTACACCACAGCAGCCACCACACTACCTGACTGCCAGAGGACCACAGGCAACACAGGCAGACTGACTGACCCACAGCAGGCACCTACCCGAGAATGCCTCAGGGTTGGGAGAAGAGGGGGCGAGGATGGAAAGAAGGAATGGTTGTAACACAGACTCCTTCAGGATGGAAAGGACAGAAAAGAGAGAGGCAGTGGTGCTGCAAGGCAGCTGCACTACTGGAAACGTTGAGAACAGGAATGAAATAAGCAAGGTGCTCTTTTCAGCAGCTTCCTCTTCCTGATCATCATGATGGTGGCACCGCACAGATCAGCACTGAAATCTACTCTGCTGTTCTTTTGCACCTAACTGCTTGGGAATTTGCCTTGGAAGTTCTCACTTGCCAATCCTGGAAGCCTAGAAGTACCAGAAAACGAGTCTGGTGTCAAAGATCTCACTAAGGCAACACGAAATCTTGAGCCAAGAAGGACAGAAGCAGTTACACATCCCTTTGCAAAACATCTCCCTCATAGCCTCCACAGCAGAATTAGCGGTTTGTGAAGGGCAGGCCTGACTAGAACTGCTGTCAGGTCCCAGGAAAGCAAAAGCAGAATATCCACCTAAGCCAGAGCTACGACATGAGTTGAGGAAGCGCAGAAGTCAGCGCAATCCCCTAGAAAAAGGGTTTTTAGTCCGCATTGTTGTGAAAACTTTTGCAAACAGAGCTAAGCACAGCCAGTACGGAGACAATTGCCAGAGGCTCTGGGACAGCTGAACAAAACGTCTAAGGCAAATTATTTCTCCAGCACTTGTTCACCTTGATGGGGTGTTATGTCTACTTATGATGCGTTTAAAAGGTCAGTATTAAAATTAGGAGCTTAAAGAATAGCTAATGCTAATGGAATCAAATACAGGGCATATGAACGAAGCCCAAAAGAAACAGGAGAAGCAGCATTCTGGGAGTCACTTCAGAAATAAAGTATCAGGGAAGAAAAATGGAAAGCCATGAGTACCACAACATGGGACAGAGACAAATAAAAGAGAGAAAGAAAGATGTGGTCCTTTGAGAAAGGCCAATTATTCTGCACAGTTTAGCATTGGATATTACAATGAAGCTGCACTGTATCCTCGATGTTCTTGCATATTCCAAAAAACAGGAGATGGGGCATGATGTGGAAGAGAAGCCAGAGCAGATACGTAGTCCCAATGACTGGAAATACAATGAACTGAGCCCTTTCAAAGGACGAAACCTGCTTCATGCTGTCTCCAGAGAAACCTCACCTTTTATTTCAGCAAGTGAGCAAAGCCTCATAACTCATAACTGCCATTTCATGGCAACCAGAGGTCACAACCACCTCAACTCCAGGGGCTAAAAGATGAGGGCTGCATAAAGGTTTAGATCTCTCTCCTTCCCTCCCCCTCAATGAAGCACAGACAGACATGCATGGTGAGCAATACTCGGTTCCTCCTACAAAACATTGTGTCATGCTTACCCTCCACCCACTCCTCAACTCCTAACCACAACAGCAGCACTGGGAATTCAAGAGGCTGTTACACAACTAGGGTGTCTGCAACAAATACAGGCATCAATTTCTTAAAGTTGGGACCTCCACATTCCTGAAAGGAAAGAGCAAATCAAAATCTCTTCCCAGGGCGAATGTCAGACCCAGGAGAGAAATTGGGCCTACTGCTAGGCTGTTCTGCTTTGGGAGTGAGTAGAAAATTTTAAGACCATTAAAAAAAAAAAAAAAAGTCTTCTCTCACCAGTCCACAGGCTGCTATCAAAACAATACTATAAACCTGCTCAAAGCAGCACTCTTTTCAGGAGTTCGAGGATAGCAGAGTTTCTTCAGCCCATACCTGTTTGCAGAATCTCAGGAATCCAATAGAATAGGTCTTTCCCCACAGGCAGCAAGTCCCATATACACAGCTGGACCTGAAAGAGCCAGGGCAAAACGATCATATTCAGAGACAAGATTTGGGCTAGAGTGCAAGACTCCTACCCCAGCTCACCTACCCCTCCATAACAAGTCACAGGATTCTTGCTTCTTCCAGCCATGATTACAGTCAGTCATTTTCAGATACATGTTTAAAATAACATCTGGACTGCATACTCCAAGCTTTTTTTTTTTTTTTTTTTAAACTGACTAGCATAGGGAGAAACATTGATCCTGGAGGAAGCACACACAACTAACATTCACTGAAGACAGAGAAGATTTAAAGGAGGAGGAGAAGGGAAGAAGAAAAACAAAGGAGAAGGCAGGTGTCCAGAAAAGCTGTGAATCAAGCCCATCTTGCCTAAGAGGATGTGATCAGTCTGATCTGTCTCAGAGCAGGATATTGGTAGACCAACACTAGCCATCTTGCCGAGTTCCAGCAGACATTTGCCACCTGACATAGTTTTTAGAGGCAGGGATAGAGACATGGTAAATGGGCATGGAAGGATGAGAGTCATGCTGTAAGAAGGATAAGTACTCACTCAATTGGTTTCCCTCTGATCTCAGACATGATGGAGCTCTCCCCTCCCAGGTACTCATAGCAGAGGCTGAGAAAGTTGTATATTACAAAGGCTGCAAAGACATCAGAGCAAAATGACAAACAACTTCAAAACAGGTGGAAGGATCCAGAGTGCAGGGAACAGACCAAACATCAGCAGGGCCTGCTTATGCAGCTTCTTTCCTTCCAAAGCACTCCAGATTGTTTTCACTGCATTTATCTTTCTACCTCAGCATTTACAAGACTATCTGAAGTGGAGTTTGGCCAAGGTCCCAGCCTAATTCCACTATTCGCGCCAAAAGTATCACAGGACCATTTATGACTGTGGTCCGTGTCTGTTTTACTTGGCATCCGTAAGATGCCATTCTTTATAGAGCTCCTGCACATTATTCCAGGACCTTAAACTGGTACTAACTTAGATGAAAAAGTTCTCTTTGATCTGTCAACCATATCTTAGTGCCTCCTGCACCCCTTTGAGGCAATGAGCACAGAATCTTTCTGAAGCGATAGGTCTGCAGACTTAAGATCTGGAGAAACAGAGGGGTATTGCAAATCACGGAAGCTCTGTTTTTATGTGTGGTGGTGATTTTGGGGTGGGGGTTGGGGGGAAGGCTCCGTGTTTCATTTCCTCAGAAAGATGAAAGTTCCTGCATACTGAATAGCCTTCTCCTTGGGCTACCTCTGTTCTGCCTTCCACAGCAACTTGGTACAGATGAGGAAGAGCCTTCACAGACTGACCACTAATAGTCTCCCCTATTTCAATTCTATTCAAGGCCCAGCTTTGCTGATACAAATGTAGTAAGGTGAAGACACTGTGGGGAGGGCCCTTATCACAACTATAGACACATTTCCTTTTCAAGAGACCCAAACCCCCTTAACTGTGCATGGAGTTAGTGTGTATACGCCTTGTCTACCACACTCTTGGCTTGTTAAACTTGCTGTTGGACCCTGATACAGCCCGTGAGGTTTCTAGGGCAAGGACTGTACTCCTAAGTTTCCTCATACAGCCTTGAGGCAAGATGATGGACTAGGTGACCCCCCTGAGGTCGCTTCCAACTTTATTTTCCATGATATTCCATAGCTGGACATTCCCTGGAAAGTCACTACCCAAATCCTGGTTTTGCTCCCTGGCATCGTCATGATACAAAGGCATGATAACTTGGGATGGAAACATAAGTCTCAAGGAACTTCGAAGTAAGAAAAAAGCCTAATGTACAGAACTGAGAACCTGACCTCACCAAGGAGCTAGTTATTAGACCCGAGCTCAATTTTCCCACGTGGATGAAGCACCACAGTCAGAGACAGACACCAACTTTAATTTGCTCCACAAGCATCCAAACTATGCCCTGGAAAAGAGGTACTCAACACTCCCCAAAACATTCACAGTCTTGCAACATCATATTAATGGCTTCTAGACATGCCTCGCTGGCAAGAATGCTACAGCACATAGAAGCAGGTATACTACAGTCTTTTATTTATGTAATTGGAATATTGTTCTTCTGTCTGTAATCTTTGTTATTGAACAGAGTTAAGTATGTTCACACTGCATGATTCTGTGAAAGCTTTAATTAGGAAACATCAGACATGGAAAACTTATTTAAATAACTGCGGTAACCTCCTTTGCCTGCAGTTTTCTTGCAAGCTCTCTTAACTTAGCTGGCAACTCCTAGCACCCAGAGGCAGAAAAGTTGAGCTTTTCCTACTATCCTCCAGTGACCCTTGCCCTCTGATGTGGTCATTACAATACCAGCTGCCCATTCCACAAGCACTAGGAAAGAGATGACATCAGAGGAAGAAAACAAACAAACAAAACAAAAAAAAAAGAAAGGAGGGGGGGAAGGACACATCTGCCCCTACCTCTCCAAAATAAAAGAGTGCAAATTATCAAAGCTAACTGCACCAGCACAACAGCTCTTCTCCTCCCATTCCTGATCCATATTCATCAGATGTGCTCATGACATCACTGTAACAAGAAAAAAAAAAACCTACTTGTGTCAGTTACTGACTCAGGTTTGTACAGAAACAAAGTCATGTGAAAGAGCAGCACACAAACATGCACCTCCTAATACACACCATGAAGCAGAGCCCATAAATGTGAAAGTTGTGTCAGGCCAGTTATCAGAAGGGTGTTCTCCCCATTCTCTCTAATGGAGCTCCCCCCACCTCCCAACCTACAACCTCCCCAAAAAAGAAAGAACGGGTTGTCTGGTAAGCGAGGAAAGAACAAAGATGCTGTTTCAACATGATCCCCAGAAAAAGCAAAGGAGCCAATCTGCTAATCAAAGGTACTTTCACCTCCACCTGTAGTCTTTTTGCACAGCATGCATGCTGAGGAAGCTGGTGAACTTCAGAGTGTGGGCTGCCTCCAGAGCAGAAGTGCTGATGTTTGCAACTCCCTGAGCAAGGCAGAGGGATAATAGCTGTTGCTAGGAGATGAGTTTCACAGAGCAGCAGGCTTCTTGCTAGACCTACACACACGCGCAGGGTGGGGAGGGAGGGAAAAAAAACAGGCCCAAACAAAGATGCCTTCTGAATCACGCGCGCGCACTTGCCATCTGCTGCTACATCTCAAAGCATTGTCATGGATGTGAAGAAGGGCCTGCTGCTCCCTTGAGCAGATTAACTTGTTCACATACTTAGGGCCACCTCTGCGCAATGCAGATCTCACTAAAACAACTGCACAAACAAGGCAATTTAACGAGGATGCGTTAGAAACCGTCCTCAGTTTGCCAGAGTGCAATCTCTCCTGCTGAGCGGGTCGAAAGCTCCTTTCTGGATGAGATCAGAAGTGAAGTTTCAATAGTGTTTACTGGAGAGTAACTGTTTCTCTCACACAAAACGCTAGTGGTATCATCTCTGGCAGATGACCAAAAGAAGCAATCGGGGACTCATCCTGAACATGGCATCCTCAATCCTGCAGGATTCCAAAGCACTCTATACGTCACCAACACTAACACACGGCAGCCATGCTATGCTGTGCCATCACGCAAGTGGCCACAGGATGGGATCAGAAGAATTATTCGCTAATAAACTGCACTGGGAAAACATGGGATAGAGCAAGCATCTGGTTGCTAAGTAAGTGCCGTTCCAAGAGCCAGGAGCTAACCAATACCTTGCTTTCAACATGCAGGTAGAATCCCATTTTTTGGCTTTATACCTTCTTGAAGCAAAGGACCCAAGGAAATCATAAGCTTTGTTTCTAGAGAACACAGAAGTGGAGGCTCGACATATCCTGTCGTACTCAGAGGTCAGCAAGAGAGATGGGGTCATTTTTCAGTCACTGAGAAAGCCACAGTCAACCAGACAGGCACACAGCAACGCTTCCTTTCAGCGGATGACAGAGAGGCTTGCTCCATGTTCCCAACCAGCAGCAAAATTTCTCTCTCTCATGATAGAGAGCTCCCCACCTCCTCCATCTTCTGTTCGACCCCTTCTTACCTTCATAGCAGTCCCGGACTGTGCCAAAGTAAACATAGTACTGGTCATTGGTGAAGAACAGGAGACTGAGCCACGAGTCGAAGGCGTAAATGGGCACAATGAAGAGGATTCGAACAATATAGCGCTGTTCATTTGGGCAGCTATAGCAGCGGAGGTGCATGTAGATCTGAGAGGAATGAAAAAGAAAGACCAAGATCAGTGGTATATTGAGCAGAGACTGGAAAGTCAACCAGGGACTTTCCAGGGACTGGAAAGTCAACAGGACTAGGAAAAACAAACGCCTCACTAAATCATCTCTTGATTGCCTCCAGCAGCCTCAAGGTGATAAGCATCAAATCCCACTGTTATCTTATGGCATCCATATAGCATTCCTTAGTTTGCAGGGAGGGAGAAAGTGGAGGAGAAAGAAGCGCAGGCATTTCTAACCCAGCTTCTCACAGGTAGTTAATTTACTGTCATTATCATCACCTTCCTCATATTCTCTTGTTCATACTCTTTTTCCTAACATCAGTCCCAAATTTCTGCTATGCTGTTTCAAGTACCTAAGATCCTCAACACTGCAGGCTCTTTTTCTCTTAATGGTGAAGGAGCATGCACTTAAGTGCATGTTCACTGTAAACACTCCCCAGGCAGTTTTAGATACTTTCTAGACTTTCACCTGAAACAACCTAGAAGAGATCCTCCATATTTCCAAGAGCTGAGAAGCCAAAGCTTCTGCCTGCTAAAAAACAGAAACAGCCATGCTCCACATTGGTGACAGCCCAGCCACGAACCATCAGCCATCCAGAGAGCACCAAGCACATGCACTGGACTGTGCTCAAAGGAAACATGCCACCACAAAGGGTGTTTTGTCCAACTGTCTGCGCACATATGCCAATTCCCCTAAGTCACTGGCTGAGGGGAGGAGCACAATGTCCCTACCCTACCCACTCTCACCATTCAGAGTTTGTTATCCATTACTAAATCCCACACCTAAGATGCTTTTTAACAGAATATCTACCTCCTGGGAAAGTTCTTTACCACAAGCATATCCTGAAGATGAGCACCAGTCCTGTAATGGCCTAATGATGCTGTGACAGCTTTGACTAGAGTTGCAGGTACGCTCCATTGGCCACTGAGCCAGCAGAGGGCACATTCTTCAGGGGCAAAGCCTCCTGAGAGCACCCTAATCAAGGCTTTTGCCTGGAATTAAAGCTGGAATTAATAACACCTAGTGTATTATATATGTGTCTCATGGCTGACTGATTTTGATGTCTGAAGTGGCAGAAGCACTGTTTGAAGCTTCACCCTGCATTTGGAGTGCTGTGCAGATTCTCTGGGGTCTAACAAAGCACATGCTGGTTAGACCAGCATCTCGCTTTTTCCTCCTAAAGGGGGGGGCTGTCCCTGTTCTTCATCTCTCCCAGCCTCTTGGCCAGGTCTGTTCAAAATCAACTAAAGGGCTCAAAACATTTCTGTCTCTTCTCCCTAACACAAGAGGGACTCACGAAAGCCTCATTTCATGAGGAAAACGGTCCAAAATAAACTAACAAACCTTAACAATATTTGTTCCTTGTGACAATCCCAGTCAATACGTCACCCAGCACAGGGATAGCTGACACCAGAGTTCAGATGACTCCAAGTTTTGCTTTTAGGATGTCACATGAGCCCTGCAATCTATGTGCCTAGGAGAGCACTTTAGACAGGAACTGTTGCCTTTTAACAGGACTACAGCATGTTTCAGCCGACACTGCCTCTCTGGCACTGACCCCCCTTGGTTTCTTCAGAGAAGGGCATTAATGCCTAACTGTGCAATGCTATACTGCGGAGGAAGGATTTCTTCCTATCCACAGTAGGTGATCAATTTGTGCTCTGAAACCGGAGGATCGACGACACCTGTAATTGTTACCCAAGATGGTATAACTGCAGGTGTTACTCTTACTCATCAGTGACTAATCCATTTTTGAACTTCACTGGTCCCTGTACTCCACCAAAAGGTTGTAGTTTTCTCAGTCCTAGTCACCACTCTGGAATCTATTGATCCACAGGTACAAAACACAGGTTGATAAATAACAGGGCTTGCATTTCTCCACCGTATTTTTCAGTTCACATGACAACTGCATGAGAGAGAGAGAGAGAGAGAGAGAGGCACAGAACAGGATGCAGGGTTTGACTTGTTCTGGCTCCCAGGACACCTGCCCCAGAAAGAGGGGAGGGGAGAAAAATTAAAATAAAACATTTCCTGCTACTCCTTTCCGCAGCAGAGTTCAGCCTGTAGAATCCACTGGCACAAAAGATCAAAGGAGGTATGTCAAACAACAGATGACCAGGATCATTTAGCTAACAGCTGACACAATAACAAAATAACACGATACAACAAGACCTGAGAAAGAATGGCTTGAGATAAAGCACCTTCCCACAAACACTCAAGAGATGGCCAAATGTTTTACGCCTGCTAGCTTTAAAGATTTTGCTTCCTTTCCAGTTAGACTAAGCAACTAGTTTGAATCCACACAGAAAAAGGCCTTCAATGAAACGTTGCCACTCTGATCAGCAGAGATTATATCTGAGACCCCAGAGAGGAGGTTGTGGTACCACTCCAGAGTCTGCAAACCACCATCTCACTCTGCTGTGTCTGGCAGAAATATGCCAGGGTATCATACATGTTCTTCCATGTGGGGAAAGGGGGAGGATGGGAAATACAGTTACATGGTTTTACCTGATGGCAGGTGATGAGCAAAGCTGTCCACACGAAGAAACCTGAGATGGCCTGAGCAGCGGTGGTCATGAGGAATATTGGCTGCTCCACAGCTGTGGGTCTGCCATCCTCCGGCATCCAGGAGAAGTTGGGAGCCACAGCTGGAGTGGTGGCAGTGGACCCCAGCCTGGGGGCTGCTGTGATGTCAGTCATCACTATCATGGTGCCTTTTGGTGTGAGATTCCACCTGGGATTGCTAAAAAAAATACCCAAAAGCCAAGACCTGGTGAAGGAAGAGAAGCAAAAAGGGATAGAAATCAGCTGAAAGGACTCAAGTGCATAACATTAACATGCCTTTCACCTGACTGTTCAAGTGCTTTATGTTCAGAACCTGGATATGTCTGCCACTGTCACACCCTGTGGTACAACTAATCATACACTATTCAGGAACCTCTTCACTGCTCATAACATAGCCTCTGTGAGATCATGAAACATTGACACCACCATTGTCACCATCCTTCTGCAATAGAAGCATTTAAGGACGAGAAGAATACTGCATGCACCAGAGATCAGGGGAAGTATCTAAATCAACCATACTGGAAGATGGCCAGCACACCTGAGCTAACCACTCAACTCTCCACAAAAGCACTGGCTACTCCTCTATGTCCTGAAAAGCCAGAGTCTTAGTATTACAGTTTCATCTGAAAGACAGCAGGAAATCCTGTTCAAGCATGGAGCCAAGCATCCACCAGCCTTCAAGAGCCAAGTACCCACTGTCAGCACTGACCAGAGTAGGGCAGCACCAAAAGAGACATGCATCACAAAGTGCCATTGCGCAGCAAGGGAGAAAGCAAAGCACTCTTACTCCTCCAGCAAGCAATCCCTACCCTCTCCTCTTGTGCCACTTTGAAAACTGTACCCAGCTTTCTTTGGAAGCATATGTGCTGAAAGCTCTGCATGACAGAAAGGAGAACAGGAAAGCGATGCTTTCCCCAAACACCACAAGACATGGTACCCTTAGCCAGCCTCTCATTAATTCTACTAGCTTAGCATTGTTCTCTACATGAGGTGAATTTAATGAAATTCAAACATGTTTGGCTTTTAAAAGGTAGTTGACCCATGAAAACACACCCAGAACACAAAGATACACAAGATTTCAATACAGAGTGACTCTTGGTCCTTACCTAGATGAAAAGCTATTTTCATTCTATGGAACTAAACCTTAAAGGTCCAAGATTTAAAGCCACTATTATTTTCAGTTTGGTTGTAAAGAGGCTCCAACGCGATCTCTGAATTGGAGGAAGACGATGCACTTGATTCAAGATCACAAGCAGATGCTCAGTGGTTCTACCAACTAGACGAGCTGCTTCTGAGGAGGTCACACTAAAGACACAGCTATCAAGAGGACCAGCATAATATTGCTCCTTTCTGATAAACTCCTCAGTTTCTGGCATATCCTTTTTGTAAAAGCTCAATACATAGTTCTTACACAGACCTTTTAGATCGCTAGATGGAAAGGGCTTTACAAAGGCCAACAAACCATCACCCTCAATTTATAACTGCAGCAGGGAAGGACACCTGTCATTTATTGCCAGGTCATGGCAGAACATGAAACAGAACGTCAATCTGCAGATGAACTGTCCCAGCCTTGCTTCACCTGAAGTCAGAGCACAAAACGAGAAGGAGCCACCTAGTAAAACCAAAAGACCAGGAGCAAATCATTTCCACGTGCATGCTAAGGTAAAGTGTGCAAATGTTCTCTCCAGTACACCCTGTTCCAAACCACACGCTTGCACCAGTGGCAGGCAGCACCCTGATGTTCCTTATGACACGTTCCATCTCATTTCTCCTTTCTTCCACAGGGAAGGAGAACAAATGCAAGTCCTGGGAAATAACTGAGTTTGTTTAAGCAGATATTCTCTTACCACAGAGGGAGCTGCACAAGTGCTATGGACTAATTTAAAAAATAATTGTAAAACTTAGCTTTTTTTCCCCTTTTCTTTCCAGTAAAAAAAAATCCTGCTGAGAGTTACAGGTTTTCTAGTGTACTGAAGGGCAATTCCTTTCCAGTCCTGATTGGTGAAGGAAATATAACCACTATGTCTTGAGTTTCAAAGCACACATGCACAGCCTAGATGCCATCTATACTGTAATGTCTACAGAAGTTTGGAGAGATGAAGGCTGGATGAAGATGCCACAAGGCAGTGAGAGACTTTTGCCATTTTGAGGAAAAAAAGGATTTTTATCCAAGCGAGTTCCGAAGTGACTGAACGCTCACACACAGTGCTGACAGTGCTTCCACTAAGCTCAGAAAGGGCACATCTAAAATGAAATCAGAGCAGATGCACCTGTGGTTAACCTAGCTCTAAATAAAGTCCAGCCAACTGCGATAATGCACATCCCAGTGCACTTTGGGAACTATGCAGGAAAGGAAGCTGCTAAGCCCTTTCTTAGTTTACAGGGGAACAGATCTCAACAGCCAGTAACAGGAAGGACGGGACCTGGAGCTCTGCTCTCCAGCTAATCAAACTGTACCAGTAGCACAGACCCAAATGCAACATTGATAACGTCAGCAGAATTGATGATCTGAAAGTGAAACCTTCTGTTTTTTTCTGCACCCCTCACTTTAGAAGAAACTGAAACAGCAAAAAACAATCCACAAGCATTTTGATTTGGTAAGGGTTAAGCATTCAGAAGCAAGGACATTTACAAGTTCAAGCTGTATACATAACCTTAATACTGCCCCCTTGTGATTATACATGAACTGTCTTTAATTAAATGATTATGTATCATTTCACAGCTAATCCCCTTTAATTCACAGTCATTGAAACTAATAACTCTTTCCAGCACTGTGTTCTGAACCAAGATATTCAACCTTTCTTGACTGGGGGTCGTCTTGTCTCCCATCACCCCAACTCACCTCACCCGTGAGCATCCCATATTCCTCAGGGTTGCCCCTGCACTACCACTTTCTGCTCCTCACTCCTCACCAGAACAACTACACCACCTGCTTCTTTCACAGTAACCTCTCGCTCTGGCAAAGCTGGCCCTAAGCTATCCAGTCTAACCGCCCTCTGCACCTCTTACTGGCTAGCCAGCTTTCAGTGCCCTCATCAAAGCCCCCCTCAGTGTGCTTCTAATCCAGGTGTCCCCAGAGTCTCCTCCAGCGACTCTCCTCCTCCTGCCCATGCTGCTAGTGCAGCCACCAAGCTCATCCACCCTGAGCCAGCCCAGCACGGCCCAGGAAAGGCTGAAGGGACGAGGAGATGGCTGCATGGAACATATCCCAGCCTTTAGGCTCGCTCCCCTCCTCCCTGTTGGGTCAAAGTAAGGGTTACAGTCCTCACATTGCTACTAGAGAGCAGAAAATGTTTTTTGTTGGGGGGTGGGAGTAGGGGAGGACAGACAGAAACATAGGCTGGGGAGACAAAAGGCATGAACACTCAGCCAAAGTATCATAGGGTGGGGCAGGTATCTTCCTTCCCTCCTGCACCTAGTCACTTGGCCTCACCACCGAACAATCTCCCCTTCTGCCGGTGTAGGGTCTGCAGCGTCATGCAGTGAGTGAATCAGAGCTAGGAAGGATAAAGGTTAAGAATAGGGGAGGGAAGCAAGGAAGAGACATTCAGTTTAGTTTTCAGCCAAATTCACTCTGCAATCCCATCTCTCGAGAGAGAGGGGGATCTGGGATTACAGGAGAACAGGATTGCTTCTTCTGAAAATGCCACCTGCATGAAAAGCTTGTGTGAAAGTGCAGCCATGGTCAGAGCAGGGGTTTCACAGGTTTTCCACGCAACCCTCCCATCTTGCTACTTTCCACACAAAGACAGTCTGAGCAGTCCGGTCCCCAGTTTGAGAATATCTGCTCTTCACATCAGAATAGTCAAGAAAAGACTGCATGAAAAGCATGGAACAAATATGCGCCAACAAAACTGATGATAAATTAAGTAACAGTAAAACACTAAGAAATATACAGGCCACCAAAACATACAGTTCATTTATCAGTCGCAAGCATCAACTTGCAGCTCATTCTCCTTCATAGTGAAGCATGAAGGAATACTGTACTCCCGATTCTTCAAAATTAACATATACCTTCCAGACCAATTATCCCTTCTAATTTCCCAAGCCACGTACACCATTAGTAAAATGACAGGAGTGCAAGCAGTGCACAAAATTATTACGAGGGACTACTGTATGCAAGAATCTGAAGTTGTAACAAGAAGTCTACACTGTATATACATTAAGAAATAAATATTTAAATATAAATATATTAGAGAAATAATTATTTAAATATTTACTTCTATTAAGAAATAAATAATAGCATAGATCAGTGGAGCCTTAACTGAGCGAGTGGATTTCAGCTTATTCACTATGACCAGCTCAGACTCTGTTGGCTCCCTTTTTTCCTTTGGAAAAAGAGAGCATCATGAACATAGGCTTTGGTAACTCTCTTTATAGACCACGTTTCCCAAATGCATCTTCCCCATTGTACAATGGGACTCAAGTCCAGCACACCATCAGAAACAGGCTCCCAGAAAATGTGGTGCCTGCGAATAAGTAACAGCAAACATGCTGCTTTGAGAGGCTACAAATTGAATAGCCTGGTGTAAGCAGCTTCCCTCATATGTGATGCAGCAGATGTGGGGGATTTCTGTTTGTCATTTTCAGGACTCCTTATGACCTACGGTCTCCTAACCAACTCACGCACTGAAGAGAAGCTGGCCACCTACCTCCATCACACCAGGCCAGTGCCCCTAATACATACCTTCCTACCTCCTCTCATATCCAGGGAAAAGCTCCTTACCCACATCCAAAAAGTTATCTCCTGCCCTCCTCTGAATCTTCCTTTCCTCACCTTTGCTACTACAGCTACGCAACAGCTTACCAACGGTTAGGCTGCTGGCTGTACTCTCTCTTAGCATGTACTCCTCCCAGACGTCTATGTTTACCTCTTGTTTCTTGCACATTTTAAGCTCTTTGGGACAATCATCTTTTTGTTCCCTGCCTGTACAATTCCCACTACTGTGGGATACCAATCCATGAAGAAGGCATTTCACATTACAATAAGGCAAATTAGGGGTATTTAGAAATCTAAATTACTAATGCAATGCAAAATAAACTAATTTAATGCAGAGCTCCTTACTCTTCTGGTCATATCCCATTTTCTCTGTCCATCTCTTTCACCTCTACCTCACTGCTTCCATTTCAAGGGAGAGTAAAGTTACATGCGCACTTCTTCTCGCTCTCTGGAACGCTCTCCTAAACGTCTCAAAGGAAATCACA